GCAAATCTGAATGTGTGACTGCATACACATAAACATACCTACATTCCCGCCATTTACATATTGCCCTTTTCTGACTGTCTGCAGCATGAAGTCTGGTTCGCCATCCGTCTCATGCTCCAATTCCCCCAATAGGAGGTGTTTGGGGACAAAAAGCAGACTGCAGTATAAAGATTTAAACAGTAAACGCTAACAGACATTAGCTCACCATTCAGATGCCTTATGTTTAATTGCTTTGCTTTATTCTTAGCACAATAAAGGATATGACAAATCATATATCAATGTGTGGAGCAAATCTGAATGTGTGACTGCATACACATAAACATACCTACATTCACCGCCATTTACATATTGCCCTTTTCTGACTGTCTGCAGCATGAAGTCTGGTTCGCCATCCGTCTCATGCTCCAATTCCCCCAATAGGAGGTGTTTGGGGACAAAAAGCAGACTGCAGTATAAAGATTTAAACAGTAAACGCTAACAGACATTAGCTCACCATTCAGATGCCTTATGTTTACACATCAAAAGCACTCATCCATGTTCTTACACAGCATTTACCTAACACATATCCAGGATAAAGCACTTTAATCTTCAGCATCTGTTGGGTGATGGTTACTAACTTCAGTCATCTGATCTCCAGAAGGTGAAAATTGCTCCATTCATCTTTGCTTGGGCTGAACACGCAAAGCCAAATGCATCTAGCTGAGAAAAAAATAAATAAAGCAATTCACTGTTTTAAAATAGTCTTTACAAAAACATTAATAATATTGCACAAACCTTTCAAACCATGTATGAAAATATGTAAGTAATTAAATATTGTTTTTAACTCTAACTGAACAGTGTACATTGATTGTTGCACTTTACAAGTTCATTCCTCTCTTTTAGTCTTGTGGTGAGCACAAGGCTGGTATAAATCCTTGCCAATAACCAGGCCAATCATTTATCAGAGGTCGAGAGGTCGATCATCACTACAATCATAGTAAAGATTCTCACTCTGGTCTTTACATTTTTGTGTAACACATTCTACTATACAACTATACAGGTTTTTTTATTATTAGCTTAAAATAAACCACGTGTAAGATCTGCTAATAAACAAACCACAGCATGTGGAAAAAGGTGCTTAATTTGGAAGAATGCTACAGGGAATGAAAAACACAGGTGAACGCGAAATCTACCAAAAGAGTGATACAAATAAAAACATAAAGTGGTTTCACGAAGAAGTCGAATTTCTGCCCAATTCATAAACAGTCCATTTATTTGCACACATTAAGGTTTGTTTACTTTCGCATGGTGTGGCATATTTAGGTCTATAGCGGCATCTTGTGGTGAACTGTATACAGTCCAGGAAGGCTGAACTCCCAACCCGAAAACAAGGATTTAGAGTTTGATCTTACTGTCACTTTGAAGGTTTTTATATATATGACCTTTTAAGCATATTAGTATAGATGTTTTAAATCTAAGCCCAACATTAACCAGTTGGAAAATGTAAAACTCTATAAGCCATAAATTGATTTCACTTTTAGATCATTATAAGCTAATTTGAAAAAGCCTCACTTTTATTTAATAAATCGAATTTATTTATTTATTTATTTGTTTGTTTGTTTGTCCTTCCCAGTTCCTGAATATACTCAACTGACAGCCGATGACTTTTGAAGCATTTGGTAAATTATTTATTTTTATTTTATTTTTGGTGGAAACTACGCGTTTCAGCCAAACTAGGCTTTGAATAAATACATATTTCCAAGTGTTTAAGATTTAGCAGCATTGTTCCAAACACAGAACAACATTTTTCTGTTATGTATATTTTATGAAATTATATATATAATCAATAATTATTTTAATGTCCATTTTAATGTTATATTTATAGCTTTCCCAGACCCCCAGTCCTTTATCTTGGTATCAGGGCTGCGTTCAGCCCCAACAAAACGGTGCAAAACGTTTTTAAGCGGAAACGGTGGTGCGTTGAACACTGTTCTGATGACTCAAGAGTTGCAACTATGGCAGCTGAGAAGGCCATTCTTTGTGTTCTTTTTGAAGAATTTTCGGAGCCTGATGAAATCGGTATAAATACGTGTTTAATACTGCAAAATACGCT